TTTTTTTTTTTCATAAATAGAAAAATTCATCCTAAAATTTGTATGGGACCTCAAGGGACTCCAAATATGCAAACAATGTTGAAGAAAGCAGAACAAAGTTGGCGGTCTTACACTTCCTGATTCCAAACCTTACTACAAAGCTATAGTAATAAAACAGTGTGATTCTGGCATAATGATAGACATATAAACCTACCAAATAAAATGGAGAGCCCAGAAATAAACCCTCACATATATGGTTAAATGATTTTCAACAAGGGTGCCAAAGAGACCATTCAATGGGGGAAAGAATTGTCTTACCACAAATAATTTTTGGGAAATGAATATCCACATGCAAACAAATGAAATTGGACTCTACCTTACACCATATAAAAATTTAACTCAAAATGGATCAAAGACCTAAATGTAAGAGTGAATACTATAACATTCTTAGAAAGTAGTATAAGTGAAAAACTTCATGATATTGAATTTGGCAATAATTTCTTGGTATGACACCGAAAGCACAGGCAAAAAAAATGAAAAATAAAAAAATAAAGACATAAATTGTACTTCACCAAATTTAAAACTTTTGTGCATAAATAGGATGCTATCAGATTAAAAAGGCAATCCATGCAATAGAAATTTATGTTTGCAAATCATGTTTGTTAAAGGATAGATATGTTACAACTCAGCAATAAGAAAACAAACAACCTGTTTAAATAACGAGGAGAGGACTCAAATAGGCATCCCTCTAAAGAAAATATACAAATTGCTGATGAGCAAATGAAAAGGTGCTTAACATTACTAATCATTAGAGAAAGCAAATCAATACCACTTATTGTATTTTGTGTAATATACAAAACAAAAACAACACAAAATATAAGAAGTGTATATGTGCTATCTATTGAATCTTTATGTTCCCCCAAAATTCATATTGTGAAGCTTTAATTTAGCAGTGTGGTTCTATTTGGAGATGGAGTTTCTAAGGAATTAATTTAGGCTAAAATAAGGCATAAAAGCCAGGCCCTGATGTGATAAGATTAGTGTCCTTATAAGAAAAGGCACAAAAGCTCAATCTCTCTCTCCCTTTCTCTCTCTTTCTCCCTCCTTCTTTCCTTTCCTTTCCTCCCTCCATCTCTCTCTCTCCCCAGGCATACAGAGAAAAAAGACCATGTGAGCATATGAGGACATAATGAGAAAATGGCCATCTTTAAGCCAGAAAGAGCTCTCTCACAGAAACTGACTATGCTCCAGATGTTCACAGGCTTGTAGCCTCCAGAACTAAGAGAAAATAAATTTCTCTTGTTTAATCCACCCAGCCTGTGGTATTTTGTGATGGCAGCCCAACTAGACCAATACAGTGTGGATGTGAACAAATGGAAATTGTTACTGCTTTTGGGAATTTAAAATGGTATAGCTGCTGTGGAAGGCAGTGTGCCAGTTCCTCAAATAATTAAACATAGAATTACCATATAATCCAGCAATGCTACTTTTGGATATATACCCAAAATAACTGAAAGCAGAGTTGAACAGAGATATCTGTACACCAGTGTTTATAGCAACATTATTCTCAATAGCCAAAAGGTGGAAACAACCTAGTTATCTATTGATGGGTGAATGAACAGGTAGCACATACATACAATGGAATTTTTTCCAGCCTTAAAAAGGAATAAAATTCTGACACATGCTATAAAGTGGATAAACATGGATTGAGGACATTATGCTAAGTGAAATAAGGGAAACAGAAAAAGATAAGTATTTTATAATTCCAATTATATGCAGTATCCAGAGGAGTCAAATTCATAGGGACAGAAAGTAGAATGGTGATTGCCAGAGGAAACGCAGAGGGGTGGATAGGAAGTTATTGTTTAATGGGTACAGAGTTTTAGTTTGGGAAGATGAAAAGCTCTGGAAATGGATGTGGTGATAGTTGCATAACAATTTGAATGTACTTAATGCCACTGAACATTAATGCTACCTAATTTAAAAATGGTTAAAACGACAATCTTTATTATATGTTATATATAATTTTACCATGATCAAAATAAACTAGAAAGAAAGGGGTTCTCCATATTATAAGAGACTATTATTGTCATTCTTTACAAATATGATTTATAAATGATATTGATATTTTATGATTTTGTTACTTCCCAGGTAATCAAATGTGTGAAGAAGGAAACATCTTCCCTAAGCCATCTATCTATTCAGGGAATCACACTTCCTTGTGTTGCAAATTACAAGAGGAACTCAGTAGGTTGAGTGTAGATTTGCAAAAACGTGGGTAGAATGATTTTCCTTGGTTCTCAGTCACCATTTTTCACACATGCTTATAGTCACTTAACCAATGTGTCTACTTGTCAGTACACAGGTTACCTGAGTGTAATGATCAACTGTTTTGCCTTCATCCTCTGATGGCCATTCCCCATGCTTGAAATATTTAGACTCATTGTACCAGATTTCAATTACATTTGACCATGATATAAGATAAGATGTCAACTGCTTATTTTCTCCACAGAAAGTATCTGAAAAGAGAGAAAAGGGCTGGGTCATACTCTCAAAACTTGGAAACATTTTACAAGGATCCTTCCCCTATTTTTATTTTATAAATGCATCTGTCACTGGTCATCCAAGCAATGTCGTATAAGAGGAGGCCAACTCAGTGGAATTTCTGTTGGCAGGCTTCTTTCTCATTGATGAATGCACTCCTGGTTTGGTGAGAAGGTGACAGTAGATGATATGTCAGCCGGGAAATCAGATCGACCAACATTACAGCCTCTGCCACTTCCTAGCTGATATATAATAACAGGGCCTATGGTTTGAAAACAGCCACACAGAGGTATTCACCATGTAAGGACCTTGAAATAAACACGTGCTCATTTAGCCATCCACATGTTACATGAGCTCTTGATCAAACACGGTATTTTGGAGTGATCTGCCTTTCTCTGAAGAAGGGAAGAGGACTCACATTGCTAACTCACTGTTCAACAATATTGGGCAATGATGCCCAACAAACTATAAATATAGAAGCTTCATTAGTAGTTTAAAAATATTCTGTAATAAACAAGTATCTCATAAATATTATTAATCTCTACTTGTGTAGGAAGTACTATTGGATTTCCTGGAAACTAGCTGTGATCTACCTAATACAGATGCCCTGAATTGGACTCATTTTTGAGCACCTAAAATTGTTCTCTGGGCAGCTCAGTAGAGTTGAATATAATTTACTTTTCAACTGCACTAGTGTTCCAAAATGTAAGATATGTTGAGATTGTGGGTAGCTGAAATAACTACATAGAGCGGAAACTGCCTAGCTATCCAGCTGACTATCCACTCATCATTGTATTGTTCAATTATTCTGTGACACAGAGATCTTTGATTCTTTTCTTCTGATGATCAGAATCTGAAATTTGAAAATTTGAATATCTAAATTAAAAAGTGAATATTAATGAAACAATGCAGTGGGCCACACCCAATTCACTGCCATTTATGGGGCAAATGTAAATATAGACTGGAAGACTTCATTTACCCTTTCTAAGTTATTTAACAATCCCCGAGACTTTTGAGCACAAAGGTGAGTCATAGAGACATATACCTACTTGTAATTCGTCTCTTAAGGGCGTTGCTCTCTACCAAGTCACAATACTGTGACAAATTCCTGGCATTTTGTGCAGCTTCTTCATTCCAATTCTGCAGTGGAAGAGTAAAATACAAACATATGATCTTAACATTTCCAATATAAGATTCTAGTTTATTGTTTCTAAGAATTGAAGGCTAGCAATATCCTCAATTGTATAAGATAATTTAAAGAATAATACTACTCTTAAATGTTCTGGTTGAAAGAGAAAGACAAAACTTTCAGTTCTTTGTTTTAGTCCTTGAATTGACACAATCAAAATTTGGTAATAAACTTCAGATGTACCGTCTCTCTCAGAAGTATTAAAGAGGCTAACTAAATGCTTCCAGTAAAACAAACCAAAGTTAGAAATCCTTCCCATCATTTATCAGTATAGTTTTACCTTTGATACATTATTTAATCTCTTTGAATCTCAGTTTCTTCATTTGTAAAATGTAACCCATAATTTATACCCAATAGTTTGTTCAAAAGTTTTAACATGATAATTCTTGCAATGTAATCGTTATGTGAGAAATCTTATGCTACTTGCTCAATAAATAAATGATGGCTATGATTAGAAGCAAGTTGAGTGTCACATATCTCTACATAAAATTATGAACAATAAAAAATTATAGTAATACTACATGCCAGGATATGTTACCAATGCTATATGTAAATGCTCTCATTTTTACTCACAGCAACTCTACAAGGAAAATGCTATTATTACTCTCATTTGCAAATGAGAAAATTGAGGTACAGAGATGTTGCATGCTTTTTCAATATGACACAACAAATAAGTTGCAAAAAGAGAATTGAAATCCGGGTTATTCTGGCTCCAGGGTGTGTGCTCTTTACTCTCAGTGTGTGTCAGTTATGCTGACATAAAGCATTTTGTTTGGTATATCTCCAAGTAAGATGAAAGACAGAAAGTCTATATCACTAGTTGTGGGACTCTTTGACAAATGTTCTCCCTAACACCGTTTCTTCCACATTGTGTACATCCATTTAAAATTCTATCACAATATCTGTACCCAACACAGTGCCAGCAAAAGTTGTGGAGTTTGTGTTTTACTATAGAATTTTCCATAAATCGTTCAGCTACTCTTTAGAATAATTTTTGGATGACATTTGAACTTAGATTTTCAATGTATTTGCTGGCATAAAAAATGTTTACCTATTATGTATATATACTGTCATCTGTGTTAGTTTCTTAGAGTTATACCTCAGGTTGGTGAACTTAGTAAACTGAGAGGTAATTTAGTTAACTCATTTAGTTAACTCATTAGCTTAGAGTCAAAGTAAAAACACAGTTTTGTGGGGTTTGGTTGTTTCATTCAAGAAAAGATGTATTTGCGTAATGGATACATCTAACTGTTGAAGTAGAGATGACACAACACATCCCATTGGGGCCTAAGATCTCCTGTCAGGGGAATACCATCCTCTATTCACTAGTAAAAAACTCCTACCTATTATGACCAGGTTACCAACTAATTAGGGCAGGAACTGATTTGGCTTACAGCGGACTGCTTGTCGTGCATGCTGTGATGATGCACTTCCAAGGGCCATTTCTGAACTGAAGCACTTATTTCCTCTTCTTTTTTTTTTTAATTAAAGTTTATTGGGGTGACGATTGTTAATAAAGTTACATAGGCTTCAAGTGTACAATTCTGTAATACATCATCTATATATCATATTGTGTGTTCACCACCCAGAGTCAGTTCTTCTTCTATCACTATTTATTTGATCCCTTTCACCCTGATCTACCACCTCCTTTCCCCTCCTACTTACTTCCTCTGAAGCTGAGAGCCCTGCCTACAGACAGCTCTGCTATCTCTCCTCCCTAAAAAATTGTCCTTATCCACTAGCATAATCCCTTCCCTGGGGCGGCCCATATCCAACAGCTAGAAGATGTGAGAACTGTAAATGCCAGGCCACCTCCCTCCAACTCAGGACAACACAGAAGCATTGTTTTAGTCCTGTAGTTTCCCATGGCATCAGCTGAGGCCTCTATTGCAACTACAACACAGCCCAACTTCTCCCTATGCCCAATGCTGCTTCTCTCTCCACCTCCATAGATAGGTGTAAATCTGGAGAGTGTTCCCCAATAAACACCCTGCATGCCATCTCAGTCTGCTTATCGTACCCTGCGAACTATCTGCAACCTTCATTACATATAGTCTGTTGTTCAGACCTCTTTAGGAAGCTC